ATTTGATAAAATGTATTATCATTATTTTGACGTTGAGGAGTTCTTAAAAATAATGGGTAAAATAATGACCAAGTAGCAGCACGAAATACTTGTTGACCAGAAACAGGTGGGAGTTGTGCTAAGTCACCCACAACTATAACATTTATACCACCAAAAGCAATAGCATTATTGTGAAGATTTGCAAAAACATTTGAAATGAAATCAAGGAGTTCAGCAGAAACCATAGATACTTCTTCAATAATTATGGTATCAATTTTCTTCAATCTTGTTTTTAGCTCATTATCTGTATGAGCACGAGTATAGAAACCTCCTTGAGTAGTTACAATTCTTAATTCAGAATGAATTGTCTTACCATCTATATTTTGTGCAGCTACTCCAGTGGGAGCTAAAAGTAAATAATTAGAACGTCTCTGTTTAAGTATATTAACAATCATGTGGATAATATAGGATTTTCCTGTACCAGCTGATCCAGTTTATACATGTTGCCGAAATATTTCGGCTATTTCGCCTACGTGACAAACTCTTCAAAGCAAGATCATCTGATTTCATAGATTTGGCTGAAATTAGGCTTCAAATAGGTTAATCTGGGTCTGAAGAACCTATGAAAGAACTTTTGAGGAATTTCGACCAACTTACATAATTTCGGCAGGACTCTGGAATTTCGGACAACATATATTTAATATATGGCCAAAACTTTAAAGTCCGATTCGAAATTATTGCAGATTATGCCGAAATTTTCTGAAGTCTGCCAAAAGTTGCTGCAGATCTGGCCCAAATTATCTGAGGTTTAAAAAATTTTATTGATATATCTACAAGTAGCTATATTTTGGTGCCGAAATGCGGCCAAAATTGAAAAAAAGTTTCAGCAACATGTATAATCCAGTTATAAAGAAGTATGGCCATTTTATACCATCATTTTCTCCCATATACATTCTAATAGTATTTAATGCACGGTATTGATCTTGTGGTAATTCTAACATAGCAGTTTCAGGAAATACATGAGGAAGCAGTTTTAAACTTTCCATTTGCATTTGTATTATAGATGAAATGTTCTGTGTGAGTTGTTGATTAAGAGATGACAGTAATCTACTTAACATTTCAGAAAACTGTTTGTTTAATCGTGTAATATGTGATTGCTGAGTGTTTGTAATTTGATTTTGTAAGTCAGTTAGAAATTCAGGAAATAGGGATAAAAACTTTTCACAGTATGTTCCATCTGGTCTGATTTTATAGTCTGATTCATCTCTTGCAGGTATTTTTAAAAGTAACTGTTGATAAAAATATAGCTCTCCATCTTCAATTTTTAGAAACCGATATCTAGTAACTATTTCTTTAGAACGTTTAACAATATAATTACCCAGATTATCATGGTAAATTTGTCGTGATGTAGAAGTAGGTGATGAAGGTGTTATAGAGTATTTTTCAAAATATTGAGGGTAGGTTAGATTATTAAACTCAGGAAGGTGAGGGCGTGACATATATTTCATAATATTGTCATCATAATATGGGTTCTCATCATCTTCTTCTATCATATAAATTGGGATTATAGTACGGGTTCTTGTTTGAGGTGGTTCAGTAGTAAGAAATTTCACAGTAGCAGAAGAATTGCAAATTTGATATCCAAGAAGAAGGAACATAAGTTCCATAGAACCAAGCCTTCGAGCAATAATATGCTCTCTTAATAAGTTATTTTCTTGAATATTAAATACATGAGAAGGTTCTCTTTTAGCAATATACTTTATCATATATCTAGCAAATCCTTTATCTGTAATATATTGGGCATTCATGTGTGCATCCCATAGAAGAAGGATAGCAGGATGATATGGAACAACCCATGAGTCAGCTTGAGTTAAACATTTATATATATAACGAGAATTTCCTTCTTCATAGTGAGTTGTTTCACTATAAGGACGTGGAAATCCTTTCCTACAAGTTTGTCCTAAAGGTGCAGGTCCTCCACATTTTTCATTACATGTATGAATCTGATTAGCAACAACAGCAGCATAAAGTTCAGGTTCATATACTGGATCTGGCATAGTTGAACGAATAACATCATTTGTAATCATAACTTCAATACTATTAGTTGTCCAGTAACAACTGTGTGTATGAGCTGCACCTCTGTTCTGGAACTCAACACGATCAAAGAAGTCTGTGATATTACCAAAACCTGTTAAATCTGGTTTTTTATAAAGTTCATTTTTCAAGGATTTAAATTTATGAACAAAATAGTTGGCACAATGAAAAGGCCTATTTGTAGGTAAAGTATCACCATTATCACTAATAGAAAGTATATCACGTAAGTGAGTCCATCGGTTTTCAGCCATGCTTAGTGTTATAAATAATGTTGGTAAACCAATCTTTTGTATCATTGCATTTAGATGAAGCTGTTTTTGATGAAAATAAGTATCACCAGTACGTATAAATGTAGGGATAGGTAATGTCATATTTTCATCAATTATATTACAAGAGGTGTAAGCACTGGGTTGAAGTAAATCTCTTGCTAATGGGAGTCTTGGATTGTTACTAGAATTAAGTTGAGCTTGGCGTAATAATCGTTGTGTATTCTGATGATGTCGCAACTTTTCCAGCTGAAGGTATGACCATGAAGGCCAGTAATGATGAAGTCTCCATCTTGAATCAAAATTCATTAATCGTAATTTGATGTATTTGCCATATGTTTCATCACGCATCTCACCATTCTGTCTTTGTTGGTCCAACATGTCATGAAAATGACCTCTTCCATCTGTAAAAATATCTGGAAACAATAGTGGTTCTAGATTAGGATCATGAGTTGGAATTGGTATTCGTAAGTTATCACTTTTTTGGATGAATCCTGCCATTAATCTGGTATAGTGAAAGTCCTCATTATGCACTTCACTAGGAAAATCATAGTTTGGAACTATTATATCATGAGGATTGACTGGAGGTGCTTGTGTATCAGATTGAATATGTCTAGCTCTTGGAAATGGGTTATTTCTATTTTGTTCAGAAGATTGTGAAGATAAAATGTGGGCATATGGACGAAGATATGGATTGTTAAGTGATAACCAAGTAGCAGCTCGTTTCAAAGTTTCATCATGAATTTGGTTTTCCATTGTATCATTATTAAGATTATTGTCATTGTTGTTTGGTTCTAAAAAAGTGCCTATAATTCCACTGTATAGTACATGTGCTCTTACATTACGAGAATAGTTCATCATACCTGTTAGACTTCTGTACTCTGAATATGGATTACTATTTGGAGTTCTTCCTAAGGAACAGTGGAGGTAAACAGGCGAAAGGTGTTTTCTTTTGTAAAGAAGAACAGAAGCTATTTCTTCTGGTATAGGTGATAGGTAAGGAAAAGAATATCGTGTTGATGGTTTTTTACAAGAATCACAAGTAGGAATTCTTGATTCAGGGATGCGATTAGTATTTGGATGGAAAGTTAAAGAAATATCTGGCACTTGTTGTTGCAAAGGATAAGTGATTGAAGGATCATAAAGCATCCAATTTGCTTTTTCAGGATACAGAAGTTTTCCACAGTATACACAAGCAATTCGGGCCATTGTGATAGGATGTTATTTTGAAATTTATTAAGTAGCATTTTTAATTTAGATGAAGGTCGCCAATATGAAATTGTTTGCATATTATTTTGGAAGTTGATATATTGATTTGGAAGATTTAATTGATTCAAAGGTAGGTTTACATTGTTATCATTATCAAGAATTTGGTCTGATGCCAAATCTAATATGGTTTCATATTCATTATCAAATGTGTAAATGTGATGAATTTGATTATCCATGGAATTTATTAATTAAATTTTTTATCTTATTAATATGATATAACTTTTTTTAATGTCAAATCTTTATATATAGAAAAGTGTATTTTTTTTTTTAAAAAAAAAAGATAAAATCTTGTTTTATTTCTTTTATCTGAAAAATTTTTTTTTGTAAAGATTATCAATGGATCAGTAAATCCTAATTAAACTTATTGATGCTTTTTTTCGTATTTTATTTATACAATATTATATTACTAGTATACATTTGTGAAATACAACTATGATGAAAGTCTTATTAAATACAAAAAAAAAAATAACAATAAGAATATATGTAAAAATTTAAACAACTACATTACATTAATCTAAAAAATCCTCAAACTATTTAATTGACTTTACGTCAACTCCATATTTTGTCTATCCTAACTTTTTCTATCCTCAAATTTATGATGATTAAAACAAAATGCAGAGATGAACAAGTAAATTTAAATACTTTGACCCTGCTCAAAAAAATCCTAACTGTCATCCTTCTGTGTAGACATCCTTGACTAACATATGTAAAACTATGAAGTTTCACTAGACCTGAATTCTTATCTTTTGTAATGGGAAGTGAGTATCACCAGCAGAGCGAAATCAATTTGGCAATGAATTAACTAAGCTTCCGAAAACTAATTATATAGGATCTACAAGTGTACCATGTGATAGCTATGAAAAAATATTTTATCCGATCTGCTTGTTTTACAATGCATTTTGTTTATAAATATTATGAAATTACGAAATTTGTTTGTAAAAAGATTGAAAATGTTAATTTATTGACCGACCTATACTAATGAATCTATCAGTATTAAGACATTTTCTGTTTCTTGGTTTTAAGATTTAAGGTCTGATTAATAGTTTTAGGATGTATAAATTTAGTATGTATTTAGCGGATCAAAGTATGATTGGTGGCATATAGTATGTGAAAAGTTTCTTAGCTTTTTTCTAATATAAATAATATTTTGGTGAGATACGATTTTTTTGATAAAATATAACTCAGTATTTTTGCTTTAATTGGAATTTATTGTAAAGAAAAATTGTAAATACATCGTGAAATAAGAAAAAGTATAAAACAAAAAAATCAAAAATTAACAGAATTATGGAAAGTTACATCTTATTAATAAAGTAAAATAAGTTTTATGTAATTATTACAACCTCCAATACCTTTTTTTGTTTATTATTGATTTTTTTATGCTCTGGTTAAAAAATATATATATATATTAAAAAAAGAAAAAGAGAATAAATGTTATTATTTAAGTTTCACTGGAGGTTTCATTTTGGGTCATGGTTGGAAGGGGGTTTTCTTGTAATGCAGATGCTAGTGATTGGCTTCGAGTCTTCCTAGTGGGTGATAGCTGCGAAAGTGTAACACGACCTCTTTTTGAACGAGGTGTAGATCCTCTTGGTGTACGAGGTGTGTTTCTTGAACTTGTTGACTCTTGGTTCAACCATGGTAGATTAATAGATTGAGCAGATGTATTAGGTCGGTTGCTAGAAATTAGTGATATATCATCTAATTTCAAGATATGTTTCCCAGGTGTAGATTCGTCACTTGTACTAGTATCTACAACGGATTCTTGATAATAGAGTAGGCCTGTTAAAATTGCCATTGTAGATCTCATTGTTTGATTAATAGAATTAGTTTTATTGGCCAAATAATTAATATTTGAATTATGTCTCATCTCTAACCAAAAATCCTTTGGTTCTCTATTTCCAAGATTTTCTTCCACGTGAAAGTCAAGAACAGATTCGCCATCCACATTTTTAACAGTTTGAGTGGTCAAACCCGTCACCATTATGTTTATGCCTACAGCTGGCATCATATCAAAATCAAGATTTTCCATAGGTTTAATGGATGTAGCGTTTACCTATTAAATTCAGATTTCAAATTTAATATTTTGATATTATTTTATTTTATTTCATTATTTTTTTGTTTTTTTAAACTAAAAAATCAATAACATACCGTGTACCATCCATTGCAAGCAATAAATTTACCTCTCAAGTAAATTACCTGACCATTTTCGTATTCTTCGATGTGTGTTTCAATTTCTTTATCCAATGGAACAAACGCTTTAATTTTTAGATATATGATTTTGGTTGGGTCTTGATCGCTCAGTCTGGATATTCCAGTTATTTCTTTTATGCTATATTCCTTTGTCGACCTCTGGGTTGAATCGTGAATGTAACATATCGTACTCAACTTTGCTGGCATTAGAAATATAGGTGGTAGAAAAGATATGTTAAATTTTTTTTTCAAGAATAAAACTGTATATTTGAAAAATAGAAATATACGTTTTTTTTTTTTAAGAAAAAAAAGATCAGAGTATTTATATTAATAGATGAAGTGATAATCAGGTTTTAATTTGAAGAAAAAAAATGTAAGGTGCATGAATTTACGACATAAAATTTTTTATTTTAATTACGACATGAAATTTTTTTTTATGTTAAATTAATTTAAAAAAATTAAAAAAAAAATTAAAAATAATATTTTAATTAATGTAAGAAATTCTTTTATTAATTTAAAGGTTTTAAAAAATATGATAAGAGTGGATTTTTTTTAATAATCATTCTTCGTTTTTTTTTAAAAAAAAATTTTTATGATATTTGATAACTTATGAAATTTGATTGAGTAAATGAATAAAAAAAAGAAATACGAAACAAATAAAGATCAGTTTTTTTTTTAATTTAAATTTTTTTTTTATAAAGAAATAAATTTTATATTGCGAAAATATTGCAAAAATATACTGATTGAGTAACGTGTAAAATTTTTATGAGTAACACGTAAAGTTTTTATGAAAAAAATAAATTTTATATTAAGTAACACGTTTTTTTTTTATTTTTTATATAAATTGATAAATGTTATATAATGTAATACAGTATAATTTGAGTAATATGTAAAATTTTTTAATTTAATTTTTGCGAGTAACACGCAAAAAATTTATTTTTTTATATGAAGAAAATGAAGAAAATTTTTTTGATAAATAAATTTATATTTTTTTGAGTAATAAAATTATGTAATAAATTGTGTAATAAAGTAATATTGAGTAATACATAAAAAATTTTTTTTACTAGTTTTTATTTTTTTTTGCGTAAGTAAATATTGCGTAATATGTAGAGTAACACTCTTATACACATCTAGATGTGTATAAGAGACAGATATTGAGTAATACATAAAAAATTTTTTTTACTAGTTTTTATTTTTTTTTGCGTAAGTAAATATTGCGTAATATGTAGAGTAACACGTAATTTTTTTTTTACTTTTTTTTTTTTTTTTTTTTTTTTTTATAAAAAAAAAAAAAATGAAGAAAAAAAATATATATATAGCCCATCTATTCGTAAGGAGGGAGGGTGGGCGTCATACTCTTAGATTTAGGATTCATTATTCTTATTCCTAAATCTATAATCTAAATCTAAGATATTAAATTCGCAGGCAAACTTTTCGTGTAGATCACAACTAAAAAAGAGTATACTTTGCAAGTGTTTTGATGATCGTTTAACCGGGAGTCTATGGGGCATATTATTTTAAAAAATATAAAAAAAAATTGTATCCCTATATTTCAGAGAGTACGACAGATTACCGAATAGGAAAAGGCTATTGTCTGTTTTTTACTCTACGATAACATGTGATTATGTATTACGGTTTAATATTTATTTATTAACTTAGATTTTTTTTTTTTATTTCAGTTATAATTATTTTTTTGCCTCAAAAACTTTACTAAAATACTTTTTAAATACTTTATAA